GTATGAGTACCTGCGCATCCATAATAGTCTGGTTTAACAATGGTAGGGACATTTAAAAATCGTGTCACTGGCCTAATAGAAGTGCTTTTTGTGTTATTTTGAGTGCAGGGTGAACAGGAAGCATTAGTTGATCATCACTCACGGCCTGTTCCTGACAGATCTGTGTGAGTCTCTCCAGCTGTTCCTCTCTCATAGCTTTGGTCTTCTCGTACTGCTGGATCTCCATCTCCATCTCCACCTTCACCTGGAGCACGTACGCTACAAAAGAGAAAGAGCAAACTTACTGTATGTACTTGTCTTTGGTAGGTCTTCTGATTTGCTCAAATCCTTTCGGAGCAAACACTAACCAAAAATGAACCATGATATTAACACGGCTTGTGTACTGAACATTCATACACTATCGTTCAAAAGTTTGGGGTTGATAAGAGCTTTTAGAAAGTCTCGTGCTCTCTAAGGCTGCATTTGTTTGGTCAAATATACAGTAAAAACAGTCATATTGTGAAATTTTATATTACTATTTAAATGAACTGTTTTCTATTTTAATATATTTAACATTTTTATTTATTCAAAAAAAGAACATTAAATATTATTATTAATAATATAGTAAAATTATAAATAATACTAAACACTAATATAAATGTGTCTGAATATATTTAAATAGCTCATCTCTGTTCTGAAACAGCTAATCAAATATTAACAGGCTTATTGGTTTCTGAAATCATTCAATGCAGCCAAATGCTAACATCAGCTCCACCCACAGCTAAGCGGAGAGAACATATTTGACCGATATTTCATGAATTGACAATAGCGTCTGACGTTGATTCTCTCAGGCTTGGCTGAGATTGTGCTGAGAGGGCCAAAGGCTTTTCATCAGGTGCTGCTGGCTCTTAATAAAGCCATATCCACATGACCCCTCTTACCATCTACTCGCTTCCCATATCAATTAGACTCTCCTCACACTGGTACCATCTGCCGAGAGAACTCCCAGCATGCTTTGCTGCATGGCAATGTGTTACTCAGTCCCTCAATATTCTTCCTACATTTCAGGATTATTATATATTATTCTAAATTCACCATGAAATCAAAATGAACAAATCTTGTTTTTTTTTGTTTTAAATTGAATATTACAGTATGTATTATTAATGATTTATCTGTGCACAATTATTATTTTTATAATAAAATTCAAGTGTCCTCATAATCTTTAATCAAAATAACTTGTGTTGTAATAATGATGTGTTTACTGACACTGTCACTCACATGATATCCACCAATAGCAAACCACAACCATCCAATCAATTTACAATGGACAAAATTTAGCTCCTAATGTTTAAACTAATGTTTATCTGGTGAATTAAAACCGAAATTACACCTGTTTTATTATATTACACATTATATACCCCGATTTTATTATATTTAGAAGAATATCAGTAACCAGACAGTTTCTGGTCTCATTGACTTCCAGAGTAGGAAAAAATATATACTATGGAAGTCAATGGGACCAGAAACGGTCTGGCTAGTGATATTTTTCTAAATATCAGAAAATCGGCTGATTGGATTCCACAACGGACTGTGGGGGAGTTGTAAAATGATCCTATTTCCAAAAAAAGTGGAGTATCCCTTTAAAAAAAAAGAAATAAAAATATAGATAAAATATACTAATATAAAAAATAAAATAAAAACAGGAACAAACCCTTAATAAATCAAATTGTGTACTGGAGTCTTTTCAAAAGTTCAGCACATGGTGTTTTATGTCCAGCTGTGAACATATCAAGAAACAACCACAGGGTGGCGTAAAACTGAATCCGAATCGCTTGAGCTCACGAATGTTAATTGGTCAGCGTGTCTCTGTCAAATATCAAGCTTTAATTCCTTCTTCATTTTTCAGAGTTCAGATTGCATTACACGGTGTTAATACAACACCAATGCAACACTGAAGTTAAGTATAACGGCAGTATAGAGCGGTCTGCTGTTTTTTGCCTACTGTGCACTCTCTCTCTCTCTCTCTTGAGGTGCATGAACGCACACACATGAAACAATGTGTAATTCTCATATCTTGCACATAACCATTCTGGAAGAAAATGGAAAAGATATGGAGAAACAGACATGCATAATACACAAGATTCATGGGCACAAAGCGATTTAGATGTAAATTGGAATAAAAAGGTACACAAGGCAAAAAAAATCTAAGCAAGTTTGCCCTCATATGGACTGCATTGACATGCCACAAACTCATAGTAAGAACAGTCAAAACAATTTAAAGGGATAGTTCACCCAAAAATGAAAATTTTTGAGTGAACTATCCCTTTAAGATGTACCTTAGATATATAACAATTAGACTAAACATTCTTTGCAGGTAAAGATGTTTTTACTCTCATCCTTTGATGATTTCTGTATGTAAATGAGCTCTATTATGAACTGATGCCACATTCATGATTATTTATACATTACATTTTTGTTAGTTTCTAAAATTGTTTTTGGTGAATGCCTTATCACGATATTGCATCAGTGCAATGGCGCTATTGTATTCCAATACAGTTTTATTAATATTTTAAATTAGCCTTCACTTTTTTATTTTAAGTTTTCAATTCACTTTTAGTTTAAGCTTTTTTTTTTGTTATGATTTTTATTACCTCTAAAATAATTCTATATAGCTTTGAATTTTCTTTCAATTTCAGTAATCTTACTATTATTTATCATGTCTTTCATATGTGACTGTGTCTCTCTCTGGTAGAGATGCTTGTTGTTCGTGACGGCGCTGCACTCGACAGCTCAATGATGTTTAGTGAGAATGAGGGTGACCTGCCCCAGCCATCGATCATGAAAACACTTGCATAAACAGAACCTGCGCCGAGACATTATGGACATCATGCTCCTTTCAGCATCAACAAAAGACCCTGAATCAATCTGAATTTTAATAAGACCACCACTGGCAGCAGCAGAGCGTGCGTGACGTCTATCATAACTCACACTCATTGGGCCGGACAGGACGACAGCTAGTAAAATTAATCAGTTGAATTGGCTAATACATTTACATGATCACATTCTTGAAGAGTTCTTGTTTTTAAGACTTCATAAGTTCAGGGACTGTAAGGAACCCTGTGAATGTAGTGTCGTCAAAAAGCAACTGACCGTCAATGATCCTCTTGACTCTCCAGATGCGGAGGGTGATGATGAGGCTGATGGCGTCCCAGGGGCTGCTGGGACCGTTAGCCACCGTGGAGGCCACCATTGGGGCCAGAGAGAGGACAATCACAGCACCGTCAAATACCTGACAAAACAAACAAACAAATGCCAGTGTCGTTTAGCTTGTAACATGTAAAAGTCTTTTTAATATTATGGGCTGTTACACAGCAGGTAATACAATCAACTCATCTTCATAACAGCATATCTACTTAAATAAATAACTACTTATAATACAAATAATAATATATTTGGAATGGAATTTATACTATGTATCCAATAAACTTCAAAATATTTTATAAATGCTTTCAAATAAATTATTTCTGAAAAACATCATATATACATTAATTATTCTTTATGTATTTTAGATATTTTTCTATTATACAAAACACATGGCTTTTTGGTATCTATGTGCAGGAGTACATATTTAATAAAAACTAGGGCTGTGCAAAAGTTAATTGCGATTAATCACATCCAAAATAAAAGTCTGTGTTTACATAATATTTTGTGTGTGCTGTATATAATTATTTTGTATATATAAATACCTATGCATGCATGTATATATTTAAGAATTATTTGCGCTTAAATTCTGTATATATTTATAAATACATAATCTATATTATATAAATATAAATATTTTATATACGAATAACACATTTTCTTAAATATATACATGCATGTGTGTGTATTTATACATACATCACACACAAATATATTATGTAAACACAGACTTTTATTTTGGATGCGATTAATCGCAATTAATTTTTGCACAGCCCTAATAAAAACATTAATATATTTAATACACACACACAGATATATTTACACGCACATGTAAATATAAAATAAATTTGTTCTGTATATATAGAAATATTGATTTCTTTCATGTATATATAGACATATTTATACTTTATATTCACTATAAATATATTATTTACCTTTTGTTTGAATTTATATTAATTTTTTTATCATGTGTTTTCATCAAGTAAATGCTTTTTAAAAATTTCAAATCAGGCACATTTGACAACAAATGTAATATGTAAATGAATGGAACTGAATAGCCAATCCCAGTGCAGTTGGATCAATGGATCCTCTCCTGCTCTGGCAACAATGTGACATTGAGAGAGTGTCACTGTGCCAGAGAGACTCATTCTTCATTAAGTTTCAAGGGCTCGCCCTCTTCCCTCTGTGTCCCCCCTGTACTAATGGGACCCCGGGGAGCTTACCTCAACTTTGTTCTCTATATAATCCCATATCCCGAGCACCACAATCCTAAAGACAGTCTGGGAGAGCAAGAGAGACACAGAATGAAAGAAAACCAGTTACATTTCTGATGGTTAAACACATTGCATTCTGGGAAATCATCCATTAATGAACAACAAACCAAGTTTTGTGAGAAGCCTTGAAAAAACCTCCCCCCAAAAAACAGGCAAACATTCCTTTTCAAGCGACCCACGAGCAGCGCACGTAAATAATGAGCTTGCAGGGGAAATGTGTACGTAGTGTAATTCGAAATTTAAGTGATATCGAGATGTGGCGGCAACAGAATTCACCTCCATTTGGTGGCGAAATAACCCCGGCGCCTCCGCAAAACCCATTCCCAACCCGAATAATTTTTTTCCCCTTTCATCTAGTCTCTGAACGCAGCTCATAATATATCAGTGACCTGCAATATGTATTCATAAACTCGCAAGCTGGCGAGATCTCATCGAAACACTCGAAGGAGACGCTGTGTTTTAGTGACTGCTGACTCAGGTGGCACACGGTAGTCTTTTTAGATTTTTTTCTATCTCCTACTTTACTCTCTCTCTCTGGCTAAAAGATGAACGTTTCAGGCCTTCCTGTCTCTTGGCCTCTATCGACAAGTAAAACACAAGTTGAAGGAAATAATTGCAAGTCTGCTTTAAAAGAGTCAGAGACAAATGCAACTGGATCTGAAGAAATGGGAATCAATAGAAGTCAGCACGTGTCGGGACACACACACACACTTTTAAAGTACAGTAACAGCACTATGTGAAACGGCTTTTTCTTGGGTTCAATTAAGATGGCCCTACAGCATAAACATTCAGACGAAGCCTTACATCAAATACTTCCATCCAATAGATCCCGTTGTGGTCTCATTCATTTAAAACAACATACTTTATCGATAATTGTGAAAAAGGCTTTCTTGTAAGCCTGGTGGCTCTCTGTAAATCATGATTGTCTCAGAGTCAGCATCTCGGTTGTTTTAGTCGCCTGAGACCTCTAAACACTCATAGCCGTGAGAATCTTTTATTGCAGAGATTAAATGTGAGCTTTGTTATGTGTTCTTTGTGATGACCTGACCTGAGATGCAGATGGGCTAATTCTGGCATATTTACATTGCTGAAAGCTAAGATGCTTATCAATATGCATTGTCCCTTTAAAATAAATAAACAAATAAATGTTACACCGTTATCTTTCATTTAAGTCTCAGACGTTTCTACAAAACTTCATATACACCAAATATTTATGGAAAAACATCATTTATTAACATTTATTTCCATCAAGAGGTGCATCAATCTTGTATTGAGTCCAGCACATCCCAAAGACTTTCACTGAATTTAAGAGTTGTCAATTCACGTGTGAAAATTATTCTTCATGCTCTCTCCCAACCATTCGTTCTCAATTTTAGCATGATGAATCGTAACATCATCATCCTGAAACATGACCATGATGTGTCTTCCTACAGGGTTGTTTAAGAAATGAAAAGCTACACACTCCATCAATAGGATTAAAAGAGCTGTTTCCAAACATGTAACATGTTAGAAACATATGAATCACTGCAATAGTGATCTAATCATAGACTCTTAAATCCAAAATGTATTTTTTTTGTATGTTATAAATAAAATAATAATAAATGTGTATATTATAGAGACGACTTAGTCTTGAAAGAATTGAAGAAGAGATTTTTTTAATGAGAAATGACTGAGATCTTGAGTGACTTTTCGCATACAAACATTGACACTCACCTCAGTGAAGAAGACCGACAGGATGACCAGGCTGATCCAGTGGATGATACAGGCGAACTGGAATGCATTGTTAACTGTGGACACAAATCAAAGAGATTCTGCGCTCACAATTCACATAATGATTCTGGATAAAACACAGTCAAATGCAATGAGCTCAAAATAAACAAGTACACTACCATTCAAAAGTGATTGCAAAAGATATGCTTTTTATTTTGAACTTTTTATTCATCATATTGTTTTACGGTTTCCACAAAAGTATGAAGCAGCTCGACTGTTTTCAACATGTTTTTTGAGCAGCAAATCATCATATTAGAATGATTTCTGAAGGATCATGTGATGTGACACTGAAGACTGGAGTAATGATGCGGAAAATTCAGTTTTGCAGCACAGGAATAAATTACATTATAAAATATATTCACCTATCAATGGACTATTTACTCTTCTCCCATCTGGAGCTTTCGCTGTCGTACGAGCAGATTTAGGAACAGTTTCTGCCCATCTGCGGTCAAGATGTTAAACACTACCTCTAATTTCTGAGACATTGCACTGAGCCCTGCAACTGCACTATTTATTTATATTTATATATTGTAATTATAACTTTTTATGTTTCTTTTAAATTATATTACTACTGTTTGCACTTCTGGTCAGATGCTAACTATGTTTCGTTGGCTTTGTACTTTGTATTTTGTCAGTGACAATAAAATGAATCTGAATCTGAAAGAAAACAGTTATTTTAAGTTGTAATAATATTTTAGAATACTGATGCTTTTACTGTATTTTTAATCCAAGAAATGCAGGCCTGGCGAGAACAAGACTTCTTTCAAAAGTATTAAAAAGTCTTACAGACCCCAAACTTTTAAATGTTAGTGTACTTAGTGTTCAGTTCATTTTAGTGGTCTGGTTCATTTTGGATGGATTGCATGTTCTGTTTCAATGAATCAATGTTCAAATGAACGAATCAAAGTTGTTGGATGATGGCACGCTACATTACATTTTGATCAAATACATTACAAATACTGTAACTTAGTCATTTTAATTTAAATATTATAAAAATACGAATTTCTGATATTCTAATAATAGGCAAAGATACATTATTTACAATAAAACCTTTTCCTCTATTTTTACCTTAAGAAAGTGAAAAGGGTGAATTTTGGTTTCATTTTGAATGTTGATGAGGAAAGTTATTACTTTGTTTTTCGAAAAAAACAACAACAAAAAAAACAGATAGCATACAAGTAGCCTCATCTGGGCCAACTATGGCACATATGGCTCAGTTCTGGCAGCGGCAAAGCTCCTCTGGGTCGTATCTGGCCCACAACTCACACTAAACCCAGCTTTATGTGTGTGGGCCAGATACAGATATGACCGCTGCCAGAACTGAGCCATGTGTGCCATAGCTGGCCCAGATGAGGACACTCAGGTTGAGTCATGCGGTATGTGGGCCAGAAGAATGTGGGAGATGTGGGCCAAAACTAGGCCAGATGTCATCAGATTTCCAAATGATTTGCTAATCAGCTCATACAAATCATTAAACTGGTTCACATGGTCTGTTTCTGAATCATTATTAATAGTCACTTGAAAAGTTACGCTAAAAAAGGAATTACTAGCTACTAATTACATCTTTACCAGTGTAATTAGATCAATGCACTAAATCACCCTATTTAAAAAGAATTGCATAACTTATTACTTACTAAATACCATATCAACCTAAACCAGTTGAACAAAACAAATCAATCAGTTAATAATTATATATAAAATTGCATAAAATATTTACATATTGATGTACTGTACGTTTACATAACACACGAAAACCTGGGGGGCAAAAAATGGGCTGTTTCTTCTTCAGAATTATCCTCATATGAAACTACTCCTCCTTATAGGGACTTTTCGAGTGGGAAGCCAAATTCCCTGTACGAGCCGCAAGCCGAAGACAGTCACTGCTCAATCTCATTACGGCAGCCGCCTGAACTGAAAGCATTTGGCATTTGAGATTTGATATTGCACCCAATCCGCGTCCTGCATCTGTCTATTTATCCGCTCCATTACGGTACAAGAGATCTACTGCATTCAGTTATCACCCGCCCTCCCTCCCTCCCCGCCCATATGTCTTAGTTTGCTCTGTTCACTGATCTGTCCATCAGCCCATTCATCTCCCTCAATCCCTCCTTCCATTAATCTCGCCGGCCGGTCGCTGTCCTGCACTCCTTCACTCTTCTCTCTCTCCGTTCCAATCCATCTCCCCCTCAATCTGTCTTTCGGGAGTTTGTAAAGGCCAGAGAAGACATAGAGATATAGGCTGACTTATGCTTCTGTCATCTCTCACATTTCTCTCTTTAGTGCGCACTCATCTGCACGCTGAGCCGTGATTTTTCGCCATAGCATGAATGGGGATCTCCATTCGGATTTACAATAGGCTCTTACGAGAGATGAAAATGTCCAGGCAAATAGCAGCATGTTTATTGAGAATAATCTCGGCGGAGATTAGTTCAACAATTGCAGATGTATGGTTATGAGAGATAGTGTATACTATCTGCATACTTTTCAATTGTCAAGATTGTATTATGAGAATATGAAATGTATATGGTTTATTAGGTTGGGAAATGAAAACCAGTTCTTATTCAGGACCTACTGAATATTTAAAGATCTAAATCTAATCACTCTGAATCCCAAACAACTGAGTCTTTTAAGGCTTTTCTTTCAGTGAATTAAAAACATACAGCGTGACCAGTGTAGTCCAATTCCTCAACGAATGACTCTTGTGAGTTCTTTTTAGTAAATCAAAACATACAGTGTGACCAGAGTTATACAAATCCCAGACAAATGACATGCATATCGACCAGTATAGTCTGATTCTGCACGAATAACTCTTATAAACTATGTATTCGATTCCCAAACTAATTATTATGAACTATTTCTTCCAAGCGAATCAAAAGTGGTGTGAATCCCAAACACAGGATTCTTTAAAGGGGTCATGAACTGGCTTTTTAAATTTGAATATATTGTTGTCTGAGGTCAACTTATGACGTTCGCTTGTTTTTTTACATTCAAAAACATCAAAATGAATAAAGGCCAATTTATACTTCTGCGTAGGGTGCGCGCAGTAGGTACGGCGTAGCATACGCACAGACGCGTCCCATACCGCGTACCCTTCCGCGTTGCCTGACGCGCACCTCTTCAAAAATGTAACTACACGTCGCGACGACGCGGACCGCAAGATCGGTGATTGGTCGGCTTGGTAGCGTTGTATTTTCTCCTACGCATTTCCGCACGTACCTTCTCACGCATTTCCACACGTACCATCTCCTCCGACGTCTTCTGTCATTTCTGCCTTTCAGTTTTAGTAATTTCACTAAAATGAACTGTTTTTCCACCCCAATAAGCTCCAACTCCAACATGATCCACTCTCTTTCAGTCGCTATTGCTTGTAGTAACCTAGCCGCGAGGAATCTAAACACAGTGGAACATTAAAACCCTCCGCCGCCAACTAGCGTTTCGGAGCAATACTGCAGAGCAACCAATACCTGAACGCAGAAGTATAAATGCTCACGACGGCGTCGCCTACGTGCGAAGCCAACGCCGTACACTACGGCGTACCCTCGACGCAGAAGTATAAATTGGCCTTAAGTAATAGGCTATTTTCTACCCTAGTTTTGAGCCTAGCTCAAAAACGCTCGGTTTGTATGGGCGTCTCGCACTGAAATGTCGTCAAATGTTGTAAAATGGCAACCAGAATGATTCGCCCATACATTCAACCCTGAGTCCGTGTGTTGCACCATTCCTGTCAGATCCAATATAGACGACACGCACCGTTCTTTACTCTTAATCGGTCTGCAAATCCAGTCTTGTTTACAAAACAATCCTCAAGAAATGAAGCGAACAGACGGACAATGTTTTACCCTCATCAGCTGGAACGTCATTAAAAATAAAGTTTAACCATGCTAATTTCCTATTGGGATCCAGAGGAAGCTTATGCAGCGACTGTCTTCTTCCACAACCAGGCGCTGCACAATATTCTGTATTGCTCGGTAGCTCGATCCGGTTTGTCATCACGAGGTAGGCATCTATGTTAATTAGCTAATGCGCGAATCGGTGGGCCGGGCTAAACCGGCCGTGTTGAAGTAGGTGTTGATCTTCTTCTGCGGGGGTGGTGTTTTGTCCTCTTTGACGTCATAGTTCCCCACTTTGAAAAACTGGGGAACTGTGAAGTCATTTGCTGGGGCTGGTGTCAATAAAAGCTTTTATTGGACTGACAAGGCCGTTTTCAGTTCAGAAACTTAGAGCATGTGTGCTAACTAGATGGTAAATTGTCATTCTGAGGCTAGAATGGCTTCTAAAGAGATCATGAACCCCTTCTAATACTCACATTGTAGAAGCTTAGTATCGATGAGCAGTTCCAGAGTCAGTAAGAGCACCACCAAGATGACACAGGCCACCAGGAAACAGTTGAAGCCAGCACTCAGCAAACACACCTGCCAGAGCGCTGCCCTCCTCCCGCAGCACGGCTTCAGCCAGTTAGACCTGCAGATCACATACAGCGACAGAGAGAAACAGTTCTGAGCTACAAAACCACAAACACAAGGCAGCTGGAGTCTACTTTCACACAGATTTGCTAACACAGGTAGGCATGAGAACCCAAGTTTACTTGTATGTAAAAGTATAAGTCAATATTACTGTATGTACAAGTGGTAATGGCGCGTCTACTATAGCCAACGAACCAACTCTGGCCTCGGATATGACCTCACGTCCACATTTCAAGCGTTCTATTATGTTTTGCGTGTCCAAGTCGGAGAAAAAAAATGGACGCCACCCGGAAAGCTGTTGTAATGGTAGCACTTGCCGAGTACCAGGCACTTACAATAAAAAACATATTATGACTTCACCTTATCAAAACGCAGCCATTAAAACTTGAAAATGTTCACTTTATTTAATGTTTTTCATGTTAATCTTCTGTTAGCAATGCCAGCAACGTTAGTAATTGCACTCACAACAACCGATTCCCATACCTACAGGGGACGCAGTAATACACGAGTGATTATAATCGTCATTTAAAATACCAAAGCGGATCAAAAACAATGAAAACAATTCATACATGTTACACAGGGCGCAGCCATCTTGAATTCCGAAACGGAATTCTTGCTCGGTGTCCTCACGGTTGTCCGACGTCCAAGAAGAGAAATCCGAGGAAAGGGGGCGTGTTGCTAGGCAACGTCTGTCGCATCATATCTTGTTTAGTGCTATCAAAGTGTCTCGCGCTAGAGCGATAGACGACAGAGGTATGCTTCAACTCGTCTTAGTTAAGGGAATAACATAGTTTAATATGAAAAAAATGGTGGAGTATCCCTTTAATATAAAAATTGTATGATTTAGATTGTTACACCAGTAGGTGGTGACAAGTGACTGTAAAAAAGTGTATGTTATTGAATTATTCATTCAAGAGATTCGTTAAAAAAAAAAAAAACGCTGATTCATCCAGTAATGAAACAAGTGAAGCGAGTCATTGAATCATTCATTCTTTCTTTATAATTCATTCAAATAAATTCTAGACTGCAGCAATTAACATTTTATCAGAACCTCTAGTAAATTGCATGTTATTTTGTTTAGTTGTCTGTTCAGAATCGTGCTCTCTGTTTGAAACAAACAATCAAAACAAACAAAAATCGGGATTCTCAATTCATCCAGAAATGTGCAGCTGATTCATTTCCAAATATCGCCCAGGTTTTCACCACTGCTTAATTTTGCCACCATATATGCTCTCTTTTTTGCTGAACTGTTGGAACGTGAGCATTTGCGCACTATTTTCCAGACTGAGCTCCAAGCCCATACTGTGCATCCTGGGCTCCTTCTCTCGGGAGCGGATTCTGATCTTGGCAGCGTAGAAAAGACTGATCAGTGTGGCCAGACTGACCTCATCCTGTGGCTCTCTGAGTTGCATCCATACTCACACACACACACCATCTGGAGAATACAGACTCCACTTATCAGACGCAGCCAAAAAGATGATTGCTTAACAGCATGGCCGTGCCTTCATTTGATCAGATGGACTATATTTGCATGCTTTGGGCTTCGCCCTTGTGCGGTTCGAGCAGGAAGGGCAGATCAGACATGGAATCTGTGTGCTTGGCTGAGCACTGGTGTCTAATAATACCAGCTTAGCACTCTGTAACTTTACGCCCTCCTAAAAGTGCAAACTCCAAGTTCCCTGATGGCTCGACAACACCAGCACATAATGCTTTTTGTTATAATCTGATAACATTTTATGTATGTTGAGATTACATATTGTGGTACGGGTTGACCACTAACGTTGTGACTTTTTTCCCACAATAATTCATTACACTGCTTTTTTTATCACATACTACATGCAAATATAAATAATTATGATTATTATTATTGATTTTTTTTTATCTTTTGACAGTCCTGGTAAAAATTCTAAATAAAATTGTTTGGTTGTTGTTTTCTTGCTTGTGTAAGTAATGTTTATATTTAAAACCTGAAAAATTGGATCAATATTAAAGGGATAGTTCACTTTGAAATTCCTTTTTGGTATGTTATAGCTTACCTCAAGTGCATCCAAGATGTAGGTGTGTTTGTTGTAGTATTTTCAATTTTTATATTTTTAGGTCAAACCGTTCATGTCTGTCAGTCATATAATGGAGGTCTATGGTCACCACCTCAAAGAGCATGCACAGAGAAGTCCAAATTAAACATGATTTAATGACTCGTAAATGTAAGTACACATTGATGGCCTAAGTAAGACATGAAACGAACAGTATTTATATCGTTTTTACCTCTTGTAACCACAGCCACGTTCAAGTAATCTGAGGTAAAAACGATTTAAAAACTGTTAGTTTTCTCACACATACCGCTTGTTTCGTGTCTTAGGCCATCAATGTGTACTTACATTTATGAGTCATTGAATCATGTTTAATTTGGACTTCTCTGTGCATACTCTTTGAGGTGGTGACCATAGACCTCCATTATATGACTGATAGACACCAACGGTTTGACCTAAAAATATCAAAATTGAAACTACTGCGGAAGCAAAGACCCCTACATCTTGGATGCCCTTAAGGTAAGCTAAAACATATCAAAAATTAATTTCAAAGTGAACTATCCCTTTAAGTGTAACAAATCTCCTTGAACATCAGTAACATTGTGCATTGCGAAAGGGTGGTTCTGGCTGCAGCTGCAGTAGTGTACTAGCAAGCAGTCTGGAAGGACAGTGTAATCGAAGCTCGACCACTGGGACCAAGAGCGCGGGTGAAACATGGCAATGTCTGGAGGTTGTTATTTTATGCTGAGCGAGCAGCAGCTAGTCAGACTCAAACCCAATCCCACGACCTGTATTAGAGGAATGGATGAATGAGTCCTAGGTGGGAAGGTTCAACCCAAAAAGCCGCCGAGTATGAAGGACACTGCTGGTCTCCAGTTCCAGAGTGGAGCTTTGGAGTGTGACTGGATCTCTTTCACCTTCCCTCCACCTCATCAAGCTGGTCACAGTGGAGCCTGATCAGGGGTCATATGAGAACGGGGGTTGCAGGCTCAGGCCACAGAGGTGTCAGTCAAACTAGAGGTGAGGGCTAATCATTAGGGCACGTAAAGATGGCCAATGACAGAAAAAAAATAGTGATTTAGTAAAATTGCTACACAAAATGGAGGGCCAAAATCATTAACTGAATCTGACATTTAACCCTCTAGGGGTCTACGGACAGGTGGATTTTTTTCTCTCTCATAACAGCGGAAAAAAAATTTAAATACCCCACACAGAAAACAAGTAATTGATTTCTGTACATAATCTACATCTAACTACTGTTACATCTACCTGAAAAACACCGTTTATTTCATTTGCATCTTTGTTCTGTTGTTTATTTGTGCTATTGCTTGTAGTTTTTTTTATATTTTATATTTATATCGAATCTCTGCATCACTAAAAATAAACCTTTCAAAAATCTTTAAATGTAAAACATATGCAAATTTGTTAGAAATATACTCTCAGTATTCATGTTGGTTTCATATGATTCTGAAAAATATTCATACCATTTTCAATAAAAGTTTCAATTAAAAAAAAAAAGTCATGTGGTCTAACCAATTAAAAAGTAATAACAATTTCCTTACACCCTGAACACACGCGAGTAAACTCACAGAAGAGGTGCATTTAGCATTTATTATTATTTATTAGTGTTTTTTGTAGTAAATTTATAAATAGGACAAATAATGAGTGTCAAGTCATTTAAGAGCCCCTTTTGAAAATGACTGTTCATGTGGTGTGGACTATAGCTCTAAGGGAATGAAAACATCCTGCAAAGATTTATATCTGAAAGTGCACCGTATATAAAGTTATTGTCTTTTAAAAGTGAGAGTCGACTCTGAGTCTATGAAATGAATTGTTTTTGAAATGAGTCATTAGCTGGTTCGTCGTGACGTAGATACATACTGGCGGCGCCCAGTTACTGCGCGCGCAGACGGAAGTGTAAACTTGAAGTCTACACATTCAAATACTTCATCATAGCATCATGTCGAGAAGACGCTGTGTTCTTCAATGCAAAGATAGGTCAGCCACCTTTTTTTCGTTTACCAGGGACGAACATGTGAAGAATCGGTGGTTAGAGTTCATATTTGCAACGATACCACAACAGTATAGCCCGATTGTGTTCTCATCATTTTATTGACGAATAACGTTAGTTCAAAAACATAAATTAATTCAAATGTGGATTCGCAAGTGGTTGTTCCTAAAGGAGGGCTCAGTAACCTACTTACCCAGTGTATATGGATCAGCTTCCTCCTTCGAATCACAACCTGTAAGTATTATTAATAATTGTTGCTTTTATGGGTTTTGAGTGGTTTTGTTGTGTCAGGGCGCGAGGCAGTATGTGTGTGCGCGTGTATCTGTGTGTGTAAAAGTTACGCTCAGCGCAGCTTCTAGGTCTCCAATGTCAATTTTATTTAAATATGTGAAATGTTTGTCGCTGTTATTGGAGTTGTCATAAAGAATAGAGCGTCTTGTAGTACTGCAGTGCTTTATCAATATGTTGATGCGTTATGCTAACAAACAACTGACTGGGTCTGTCATCTGACCAATCACCGCCGATTAGCGTCACGCAAAGGAGTGGTTTGGAAAAACGAGTCGTTGTACGATTAATTTGGGAGTCGGTGAGCAAATCAGTTCAAAATAAATGCATATTAAAGTGTTTATCCTTGCATATAGGAAAATAGGAACATTTCAAATGCTATGATAGGGGCGCTTTAAAATGTCTGCCGTAAAATCATACGTAATTTGTGCCAGAACACTTCCTGACATTCGTCTTTGACTACCATCTCTACATGCATACACGCCTGACTGGAGCTTTACACAAACGATGTTCAAACATTCACTACGGTAATGTACACAAACACATTTCCAAACGTGAATGGTAATTTGCACTTTTGCTAACCCTACGCACACACAGAAAGAGCGAGGGGGAAGTGTGTGTGCTGGAGTGGACAGGTTTATAGAGACATCAGTATCAGCACTCCGCGAGACG